CCCCAAAACCCCAAAACCCCAAAACCCCTAATTTTTATCAAAATTTGAACTAAATTTAGCTTAAAAGCTGAAGAGATTGACTGGTTTTCCGGAGGGATTGGAGATGTTGCCCCAGCCAACAGCACGAACATCCTCCTGGTGCTTGATTGCCTTCTTCATTTTTGCTCTTTTGATCCTTCTCTCAGTGATCTTGATCTTCCTGTGATCTCTAGAGATAGTAATAAAGGGTTACTCTTTGAGTTTTCTGAAAAATTTTCTGTCCTTGCGAATGTCTAATATGATTTAAAGCACTTACTCTTGTTGATAACTGAATTTCATTGGATCCTGAAATCGTCAATGCGCCTATATATTAATAACAAGACTACTTGAGGATTCCGTCTTGGTCATTATTCTGACTCATGGCTGAGAACGGGGTTGATGAGAATCCAGGTCTGTACTTCTTGTAATTGTGGGATTTATTTACATCAGAAAAAGGTTTCAAGCTTTTATTATTAGTTCTTTTGGCATACCCTGATTGTACTCTTACTCTGTATCGGCTCCTGAGCCTCGGCCTGCTGCCTCCTTTGGTCTTTGGGCCTAGATAGATAACTCCTAATTCCATATACGTTTCTTAGTGATTTTGAAAGAGTTGAATGACTTTTGAAGAAACTCTTTCTCTGTACCATCCTTCTGTTGCTGTAGCTTTTCAACCTTCTTAATTCATTCTTTCGGGTTATCTAAATGAGATAATTTGGGACCAAACTTTGGAAATCAAGGTTATCTTCAGAGGAATTTAGGGCTTTTGAAGTTCTTGATTTATTCTGGGCTCTATGCCTAGAGATCTTGCTGCTCCTTCGCTGAGGAGACTGAGAACTTGGCTGGTTCTGATAGGGTCAGGGATTCTACATACTTGGAAAGAATCTGCCTTTATGTTTGAATTAGAGCTCTGGGTATTTTCATGCTCTGAGTTTCTATTCAAAAGGCCAGAAAAGTCTATTTAAAGTGAATAAGAGTTAAATGTACTCATAGTAAACCCTTTGGGTTCACTATTAGAGGGTGATGGGCTGAGATACCCGCTCTTTTTACTCTGATTTGTCCTCTTTGCTAGATTGATTAATTCAACAACACTAACATTTTGGAGATAAATTAGTCTTTTCAGAGTGAAATGTCTTATTTTCCTCAGGTACAACTATTGGGCTTTCTGGATCTTTCCCTCTTATAAATTTCCTGAAATCCATTTTAAATTGCTTGTAATATGGGTCACTTAGCATAGTTTTCTTTGATACTTTCAGTCTGTCAATTATGGATTTATACATCTAAAGTATCAGGAGTTTATACTTTAATATTCTGGCGATGAGGTCGAAGTGAAAGTTCATAAATATAGTCATTCATATCATATCAGAACTTATTGAACACCTTTAATCCTTCTTTGTCCTGTCTCTTTTATCTCGTTTGACCTTGCGGATCCTTTGTATGGCCTTGATTTGTTCTTTTTGGTAAGTTTTCATCTTCGAATTAACGATTTCCAATTTTTCTCTCTTATAATCATCGATGTACTGATCCATTAGCATTGAGAGGAACTTCTTTTTAGAAAAATTATCCCCTGAGTTTAGTTTATCTATACGAAGATTAGAATAAGCAAGAATTTATACCTTTCAATCCATTTTTAGACCCAAGCTTCCAGATTTGAGATAAGAGCTTATTTTTGATCTTGAGGATTTTTTAGGTCTGAAATTTTCACAGCTTTAAGGTTCTTTCAGGAGCCCTTTGAAGTTTTAAGGTATTTACTGAAGGACACATTTTCATAGCTCCTTCCACGAAGCTCAGCCTCTTCATTGGATTCTTTCTCATTAGACTCTTCTTTTTCACAAGGACTATTCTTATGTGAAGAAGCTATGGCTAAATTAAGAGATCTTACCGTATGAGGAGACTGAACTTCTGAGTTTAGAGTAATAATTTGAGCTATAATTTTGGTTTTCCTCCTTTCTGTGTATATCAAAAAGTTTGGGTTGCTATAGATATAACTCCTTCAAGACCTCAAGCTTAAAATACGACTCATGAAACTTACAGGTTTGGGCTCCCTGATCCTTATTAATTCTATCTTTGCTTCCTCTTTGGAGGCACCTTGGCTAGTCATTTACTTTAGTAATTTAAATTTCAATAAAAGTTTTGTGAAAGGGGTTTTGGGGTTTTGGGGTTTTGGGGTTTTGGGGTTTTGGGGTT